CCTTGTAGATAATTTCCATGTGCTTTTGTCCTTTTAACCTAACAGGCAAAGCTGCTATTTTGTTGCTGCTTCTGAAGGCTCAGTTGTTTAGCATCCCTCTAGAACTAGAGTCTCAGGCTGCTTCCCCTTCTGGAAAGTATTTGAGATATGTTTGCATTATAAGTAATTTACTCATAGGCCCAAGTGTGGCTCTGGGGGCATGAGTCTGGAACCAGATCCCATACCAGCCTGACAGTCCACACCATTTGCCATTGACCTTGAAGTGTCATTTGACTATCATGAGCTGCCTTATCTACAGTGGCAGGGAATTTGGGTAAACTTTTTCCTAGGTCCTTTGCAACTATAATATTCTTTGACTCAAAAAGACAAATGCATTTTAAAAAACAGTACACAAATTTGTTGAGTACCTACCATGTTCCAGGCTGAGGGTAAGGTGGTAAACAGGACCACCTCTGCTGCCTACTCGTCAGCAAGTGGGGAAACAAGGTCATTTCAGATATGCATAGTAAATGCAACAATGAAACCATAGTAAGGTAAAGATGGTGACAGGAGGGTCTCCTATAGGACAGTCATGGAAGGGATCCCAAAGCTCTGCAAAGGTGACATTAGAACTGACACCTAAGGAAAACGATGAGGTTGAGCATATGAAGATGTGACCAAGGCAAAGGCCTGGGAGGTGGGGATGGTCTTGGCCCACGTAGCCAGAGCAAAGTGAGTTTGGGAAACACTGTGTAAAACAAGGCTGGAGAAAGAGCAGAGACCAGACCGTGGTAAGGAGCTTGGGTTTGTCCTTAAGTGCAAAGAGAAGCCATTTGATGATTTTAAGCAAAACGGTGATGTGAACTGATGTATTTTTAAAACTATGAGTGCTGTGTTAAAAAGAACCAAAGGAAAGAGAAGATAAAAAATGTGTTCCTTATGTGAGTACACTGAGATAGGAGTGAAATCTCTCTTCTGCCTATTCATCTTTCAAACACCTCTTCAAACTGTGGTTGGTATCCAGTCTGAGATTGCTACATGGTGTTGCTCGCAGCTAGATTTTTCTCCTCCTCATCGCCTCCAACACTAGCCTGAGCCAAGGCTGAAGGGCAGGATGTGGTCCCCGGCCTGCGGCGACCACCATCCCTCCCCCCTAGTAGCTCAGAACCATTCCTGTTGCTACACAGCCAGTCACTGCAGATGATGCCGGATACACCAAGTGCCCACAAAGTAATGACAGCATGAAATTCCAGAGGAGACGAGAAGCCGCCTCCTCCTTCCCCTTCCCTTTCCCCCTCCCCCTCTTGCCTCTCCACAAACACAGCCACAAACTACTGGCACCGGGGCTAAAATTTGCCCAGCAGAAAACAAACAGCCACTTCCAAACAAGACATGTTCCTCTGCTTTCTTTTTCTCTAGTGGCAAGGGGCAAAGAATCCCATTGGCTAAGTCACCTTGGTAAACAAATTGCCTGATACAAACCTTCTCCTCCACCCACACCCCCTCCCAGTACACAGCTCTCTTAACACAGAAATAAAATGAATAAATTCTCCCCTCTTCATTACTAGTTCTAGTTCTTGCACTTAGAGAAATTAAATGACTTGGCCATAGACTAGACAGTAAACTTTTGTGTCTAGGGATCAGGTAACAGTGTCATCCTATCCCTGTCACCTACCACAACACTAGGACAGAAGGATACTCAGAAAATACTTGCTGAATGAATGACAGTTGTAAAGGTCACCCAGCTAGAGAATTCAGGCCTTCTCGTGTTCCAGGGTTTTTCCTCCTGACTCCACAGCTGCCCAGCAGTTACAAAAAGGGACTTTTCCTTGTGATAGGATGAAACACAGAATATTTGACATGTCATTATGTTGTCAATTGACAAATGTGTGCTCCTCTATTCCTCCTCCTCTTTAGTCAAAGAGGACAAGCTCAGACCAAAAGGCTTTGTTTCCCCTCAAATGCATAGTCACAGCCTTGAGAGTTTCCTTGTCCTTGTGATCAGTGCCTTTTTAGACAAGATTAAAACTGACACCCTCATGAGATGGTAGTCACATGGAAACTGGGTTTTGGCTGCAGTTCAGGCGGAGCTGTGCCCGCCCTCCTCCCACCCTCACCTCCCAGCCAGTGATGAGTCACAGCACACGGCTCACTGCCCTTCAAGAGCCAATGGGGCAGCTTTTGTTTTCTTTCCTCTTTGCTTTGCACTGATCATGTGAGGCTCAGGGTATTCACAGACCTAAGACTCCACCTTCTGATTCTTGCTGTTGGTCAAAGAGAGAGACAAATCCAGGGTGTGGCCACTCCCTTTGTGCCATTTTCGTCCCTCTCAACTGTCACGTGCTGGTTGGTGGCAGAGCTAAACTAGACAGACAGACAGCATCCGGTGTGGCTGCTGCCCACAGACATGGCCTCTAGTGCTGTTTTGATTTCTTGCCTGTCATAGCAGATACTGTCATAGCACCTGACTTCCAGCTTAGATCACCCATACTAGCCGTGCTAATTGAAGCCCTGATAGTAATAAACCTCCTCCTCCTCCCAGTCTGTGGCTGCACCGCTCTCCCCACGTGTGAAAGACACATAAGCCAGGAAAGAAAAGAGTTTGGGGTTGGAGGTGGAGTTTTTTTTTTTTTTTTAAGTAAAATTATATTCAGGAAATTAAAGTCTGTGTGTGGTTTGACAGGCTCCTAAAAAACTCCATAGGACAAACATTTTAAACAAACACCTTGGAAGCAGAGGTGCTCTAAATTGCCTGGGGCATTGATTCAAATGTTTCCATTCCCCTCTGTTACCCAATTTAAAAAATTTCACTGTGCTTCTTCCCTCAGCCTTGATTGATTCCACAGGATGTCATGGTCGGTGTTTATTGACCTGATATGAAGTTGGGCTGAAACTTGACCAGGAGATGAAACTTTCTTAGAAAGTTTAATGGGAGTAGAGATTCCAGCCTCCATGTAAAGGAAGGGTCTCGGTTCCCTATGTCCGGTTTACGACGTCTGTGTCTAGTTAGTTTTCCTGGAGGGCCTGGAGGGTTCTGACGAAGTTAATTATTTTTACTTTATATCAACTTATTTTGTTTGATAACTCTTTGGAAGCATGAAGTGTGTCCTTTTATTTCCCTATGTTGAGAAGGACTCTGAGGAGTCCCCTCACCTGTCATGGAGTGGTTCCTAAGGTTAGTCTTTAGAGCCTTTGCTCATCTGTTAAGTGGGCCAAGCCAGATGCTCTTTAAGACTTCTCCCAGTCTAAAGTTGCATTTTTTTCCAACAATAGAATCTTTCATTTAAAAAAAAAAAAAATGTTTGAGGCCAAGTGTAGTGGCTCATGGCCTAGCACTCTGGGAGGCTGAGGCAGATGGATCACTTGAGCTCACAAGTTTGAGACTAGCCTGAGCACGAGTGACACCCCATCTGTAAAAAAAAAAAAAAAAAAAAAAAAAAATTAACCATGTTTTTGCAAGTGCCTGTAGTCCCAACTACTCAGGAAGCTGAGACAAGAGGATCACTTGAGCCCAAGAGTTTGAGGTTGCTGTGAGCTATGACTCCACAGGACTCTACCCAGACCAACAAAGTGAGACCCTGACTCAAAAATTAAAAGTTAAAAATCAATAAATTTTTGTCTCACGTAAAAAGAACGTTGCTATTAAAAAAAAGAATTTTGCTATAGAAGGAAAGAAAGATTAGACTAAGGGTATACTAGCTTCAGTTACTATCCTTATTTCTTTTTGTCTCTGGCAATAGTGGGTGTGGTAAGAATGGCACATACTCTTTCAACAAACCAACCTTTATTTGGCACCTAATTTATGCCAGGTACTGTGCTAAGAGCTTTGTGTGCATTTTCCCATTTAAAGTTCACAACCACCTTGGATCCTCTAAGTGTTACTAGTACAGATGAACAAACTAGGTCACCAAGAAATGTAGTAACTTGCCCTTCATCACAGCTAATAAGTGGTCAAATCAAGACTTGCATCTGGACTGGGCACGGTAACACACCTGTAATACTAGTACTCTGGGAGGCCGGGGAGGGAGGATCATTTGAGCTTAAGAGTTCAAGACCAGCTTGAGCGAGAACAAGACCCCATCTCTACTAAAAATAGAAAAACTAGCTGGGCAGCATTCAATAAACATGCCTGTTAAGGAAAATGACTCATTGCACTTAGCTTTCTGGAGAAGGGGGCCAATCATAGGAAGACAGAAATCCAGTGGTCCCAGCTACTCGGGAGGCTGAGGCAGAAGAATGGCTTGAACCCAGGAGTTTGAGGTTGCTGTGAGCTAGGCTAACCTGGGCCTACCCTGGGCAACAGAGTGAGATTCTGTCTCAAAAAAGAAAAGAGTTGAATCTAAGGCTAAGAGCTACAAGATTCCTACTTCTTGGCCACAGTGTCAACACTGTGTCTAAGTAGAAATAGGCGTATATACTGTACATCCCTGAATTTCTCTGTCTTCCTGTGATTGGCCTCTCTCTCCAGAAAGCTAAGTGCAATGAGTCATTTTCCTTAACAGACATGTGTATTGAACGCTGCAGAAGCAGGAGATACCTGGATAAGGATCTCTACTCCCTTGGACCGTGCACAGGGTTGCTAAACAAGAGCTTTCAGGTGCCTTGAGAGCAGTCACTGCCAGAGGGGGAGAAGTTCAAGTAGGGGCAGGAGAACTCCCCCTAGGGGTGATTATGCAGAACTCAAGCGTTTGCAGGTCATGGGAGGTTTGGTTCCCCTCAGAGTACGTCAGCTCCACTTACCTAAGCAGGACAAATAGAAAGGATTGGCCCTAGCTGAAGTCAAAACTCTTTATATTTAAATGAAAAAAAAAGCAATTAACTATTCAGCCCGACTCCTGGGTTTTGAATTACCCCATTTATCTTGCCCTCGGAGCATCTGCTTCTTATTGCATTGTGGCCCTGCCTGCCGTTTATCTCTCCCTGTCAGTCTGTATCCACGTGTCATGGGACTCCAAAGTGAAGATTAGAAGAGAAAAATATCTCTGTATTCTAAGCCTGGCGACTTCTATTTTTATCCACAGCTGTTGGAACTGATAGCAAAGTCACAGCTCACATCCCTGAGTGGCATCGCCCAGAAGAACTTCATGAACATTTTGGAAAAAGTGGTACTGAAAGGTGAGCTCGCTCGCACTCTCTCACCCCTTTTATAGACACGGGGGCAGGCAGATGGATTTTCCAATAGAGTGGACGTGTTGTTATATTTAAAGGAATGTGAATGGATGGAAATGAATAACTCTGGTTACATATCGGGGGTGCCAGATTGCAGCTCAGCGAGGTACAATTCATCCTCCTGGCAGAGGGAGAGGCCGTCACCCTTCTGTCCTTTCTTTAGTGTCATCCTTATGTCCTTTTCTAAGGCTTCCCAGGCTTCTCAGTGTAGGCATATGTCCCAACTTTGGCTACCGAGTCTCCAGATTCCAAATTCCTAGAAAATTGAGCTCTGTGCAAAGGCAGCACAGATTCCTACACTATTTTGAGCCAGAAGGAATCTTAGGTTTCTGGTTCAGTGGACTCAGTGTTTCCAGGAGGGAACTGAGGCACTGAGAAGAAGTGATGTGTCCGAAACCACACGGTCAGCCAGCCAGACAGGATTAGAACCCCAAATCCAAACCCCACTGGAATCATGTTCCTTGTACTGACCACCTAAAAGGGGCATCGCTGCTAAGCAAAGGGGCAGCTTTCTGATCAGGTGATGCATGTGTGCTGGTGGGCCAATGAAAAGAGAAAGGAGCTTTATAGAAAACCAGGGAGAAGAGAACAAAGAGGGACCCAGATGATGGAAACTCTATCCCTGAACCTCCAGTGCAGAAGCTTGGCCAAGGGTAGAATAAACACCTGTGAGAAAGAAAACCTTCCCCCGGGGCACTGCCCGGGTAACACGAGCAGGGTGGAAAAGAAGCGAAGCCCACTTACTAAATACAGGAGGTGCTGGTATCATAACTGCAATTATTTCTTTTTCTTCCCCTCTCTAGTCCTTGAAGACCAACAAAACATTAGACTAATCAGAGAACTCCTGCAGACCCTCTACACGTCCTTGTGTACGCTGGTGCAGAGAGTCGGCAAGTCTGTGCTGGTCGGGAACATTAACATGTGGGTGTACCGGATGGAGACGATTCTGCACTGGCAGCAGCAGCTGAACAACATCCAGATCACCAGGGTAAGCCGGCGCCGTGGCCCCGCCTAGCAGTCGGTGCTTCAGCTGAGAGGCTGGATCACCTCGCCCAGACTTCAAACCACTCTGGTGATGGAACGGTCTGGTCTGTTCTCCTGTGCTGCTTGGTCCTGCTGCTAAGGGTGGGCCAGGGGACCTCCTGATAAAGGGAGGGTGGGAAAAAGAACTCAGCGAAACGGGATCAAAGTTCGTAAAAGATGACAGCCAGTTGAACCATCGTGGGAAAATGGGAAACCTGGCTTTTGGGGAGATGCTGGCTGTCATGCTGAAATCGTTAGTGGGGTTTGGAGACCTCTCTTTGCCATTTCCCCATAAAGAATGGGTTGTTTGCAGCCTTGGGATGCTGCCTTGAACACAATAGGGCTGTGAAGGCCATAGCTTGGAGAAGTGGTACCAGCCTTCTAAAATCCTAGTTCCAATTATTGGTAGTTATGACAAAGGAAGCCTTTGATTAAAGACTGTGAATGTACATGTGGGGAAGATGAGCGTTTCTCACTGAAAGCAAAGAAAAAGGCCTATGTTCACAGCCAAGCTCAGCGCTCTGTTTTCAGAATATAACTTGGCCCTCAGTCCTTGTCCTCAACAGTGAGCAGGAGGACAAAAGCGCACAAAAAATGTGAGAAAGATGCTGGCGTAATCTCTTAGGGCTCAGTAATGGACAGACACACTTAGGCAGCTCACGTAGCACTTTGCTTGTTTATCTAATCACCGGCCGTGGCTGTCTCGAGTGTTTTCCGGGACCCACACTGATAATGCTTGGGGCTGCCCCATGTCAGGAGAAAGAGACATGAAGAAACCTCTTTGACTACTTTTAAATAACTATTTTACCATATGAAGTTTTTAAAATATATGCCTTGACTTTACTGTTAATGACTTCTCTGTACCTTCACTGTGTAAGCAGTGAAATGGAGGAAATAATCAGAAGCCTTGGAGTTATGTGACCCCCTTACAGTCATTACGCTACACTACCCACCTTCACCCTCACCCACATACACAGAGAGGAGCACACTGCAAGTCATCTTCAGAAATGATCTTGATTCTTTGATTATCTGAAGACAACGTGTTTATTATCAGCACTTACCTGATTTGATTCATTCTAATAGTGTACCTCAGTCCCATCTCCCAAGTGTAGGCATAGTTTGACCATGTGAATTTGAGACCCAAGTTTCCAGTTTATCTCTCGTAGAAGACCCACATATACCTTCTACCTGATTTCTGGCATTCTCTGTGGCTAAGCCCAGGAGAGACATTTCTCAGCCAGTGATATAAAAGAGCAAGTCCCATTTGTCCTAAGGGCATCCTCCCTCCAGCAACTTTCAATGGCCATGAAGGTGGCTGCACTTGCCTGGAGCCTGCCTCCATTCCCTCTGTCCACCTTGCCAGGAGACTCATGGGCCACATCTGCCCCACACCTTGCACTTCCTCAGAGCCCTACTTGGTGCACAGGCACTCTTGGGAAGTAGCCATTGTACATGGTATTACCCTTCCTGAGGCAAGGTTGGAGTGGAGACCAGAGAAGACTTTTCTAGAGCTACACAGCAATTAGGGCCAGAGCTGAGGCGAGACTCTTGAGTTCATTATACCTAAAATGGCAAAGCTTGCTTAACATCAGTGGTTTCCAAACTCTTTTCAATCCAGCTTTCTTCCAACTCTTTATCCAATGATCCAGCTTTACTTAAACCTCTTTAATCCAGCGAGATCCCAGACAGAACAGATCAAACACTGAAGTTCACTCATTCTCCTTTCTGCATGAGAAACTCCAGCCAAGCCACACTATTCTCTGCACACTCCAAGCTTGGTCCTGCCTCCAGACTTTCAAGCTTGACACCTTCCCTGACCTTCCAGTCCATCAGTGTCACTATCACATCACCTTCCTCAGGGCAGTCATTGTGATCTGAGATTGGCTCATGTGTGTGCACCTTTTTGTGTCCAGCCACTGGCTTATGAACTCTGTAAAGATGGGGCGTTACCCACCTTACTCCCCGTACCCAGCACAGAGCAGGAGACGGTAAATTTTAGATGAATGAATAAATGGTTGAAGAGGAGTCTCCTCCCGTGGCTCACCTGGAGCGCTTGTTCAGTGTCAAAGGAACACAGTTGGAAGTGCTGCCCTGTACGCGGATGGATGACAATGGGCCAACCTCAGGATGTAGGACAAGTTATACAACGTCTCCATGCCTCACTTTCCTCAGTTGCAGAAATGCCTCCCTCACAGCCCTGGTGTGAGATTTCATTTGTTAACTTGTAAAAAGCAGTTGGCCTAGTGCATAACACACAGAAGTAATGTAAATGCAGTAACTGTTACCATTAAGGGTCTGCTCTGTGTAGACACTCCTCTAAATCCTTTAGGACTATGTGTATTCATAAGCTCCTTTAGAGAAGAACTGTAAGTAGGAGTCATGATAGTGGCTAATATTTACTGGGCACAGTACTAAGTAGTTCTATGCATTATCCCATCTGCTCAGCCCAGCGACACTATATATGATATATCTATCCACATTTTATACACAAGAAGAATTAGACTGGGTGAGTAGTTATGAGAATTAAAGCCAGATCTTTCTCCAGAGCCTGCCCATCGCACCTTCCTGCCTCCTGTCCTCTGCCCCAGCTTGTCTTGGTTTTCTGAGAGCTGTGCTGGAACTCACAGAGCCCTGAAGGGCTTTTCCCACCAAGGCCCAGCTCTGCAGAGGAAAGAAAGATTGAGAGGGAAAAAGAGAGGAAGAAAGAGAAAGTACCTAATTAGTTCAGTCTACTTATCTTTTTTGTTGTTGTTTTTTCTGAGACTTTTTAACAGTTTGGCCCAAGAGAAGTACATTGTCACATAAAAATATCCCGGTGACTTTCACAGTAAATGCTTTTATTTGCCAAAGTTCTGTTAGTATCTTCCCAGCACGTAATCTTGTTTGCCTTTGAAATGTTCACATCTAATTCTATGGAGTCAATTTTTACTGGAAAAAAAAAATGAATAAAGAATGAAGGAAGGAAATGAAGAGAGCCGGTTTCCAGGGGTGGAATGACATAATGATGGGGTGCAGTGGACAAGGCAGGGTTTTGAAACGTATGAGGGGACAGGGTAGACGCAAATGGATTTTAGCCAAATGCTGGATTAGAGGGGCGAGAGCAAATTATTTTTCTGCTATATGTTTATAGTCAAAAAGAAGGCGGCTCACAAGTAGTTAACCATTTCTCGGGCGTAAGGACTCAGCATGGGGTCTGGGCAAGGATTTTGGAAAAGTGCAGATTTGAAAATTTGACAGAGTGAACGCTGCCAAGTGGACTTGCCTTTAATAGGAGTTAATGTAATAATTGGCCTGGGAGTTTTAACCAAAAAAGTAGAAGCTTTGAAGTGCTGGAAACAAAAAGAAAATCTCATGGCAGTTTTATTAGCTCATATGATCAGCAGCAGATGATAAACGACAAATAGGTCTAAGGCCTTCTGTGGCTGGCAAAGACCTGAATTCTGCAAACAATCGAAAGTTCTGCCCAGCAGCCTGAGGCAGAACCAAGCAATGCAAATTGTCAAGTCATAGATACTTCTGACGAGGTGGCCAAAGTCCTTCCAAGTCTGAGATTGCTAGAACTGAAAGGATCCTCAGAATCTTGTAAACCATTCATTTGGACATGGGGAAACTGAGCCCCAGACTTCCCCAGGGAACCTGAGATTCAGAGTCGCTATTTGCCCATGTGGTGGGTGTTCTTCCCATGCCACCCCCATCTCAGTAGCTCAACCTTCCCATGGCCACTCTCCTCTGCCCCTCCTGCCCTGCAGGGGACACAGGAGGCAACTGCTGAGACAAAGTGCCCCCCTGTGTGTTTGGGCATTGATAGGCTTTGTGCAGAATTTGAAGAGGAAAATTGATGCCCATTCTCAGGGTATTCTTCCCTGAGCTAAGAAAGCATTTCTTTGCCTTGTATTTTTTTGTTTTCCTGTGACTTTTCAGAAGTAACAAAACACTGACCTAAAAATATCAGTAGTCCAAAATCAAGAGTTCACCCAGCACTAGTGTGGGAAGACAAGGAATCTAGGCCCAGGTGATGCGTTGACTTCTACATCATCCTGTCAATGCTTAAGACATATCAGCAAAAATATTTGAGGACCTGCTAGGTACAGATTGTTCCTAGTGCTTTATGCTTCCCTCTATGAAAGCATTTAACGTGTTGTCCTTGACTATCTGCTTATGCTTCTGGGTCTCTCACCAGCCTAAAGACCTCGTCGCAGCAACTCAAGAGCTTGTCTGTGCCAGGCTAGTCTGCAGGTGCTACAAAATTAGGCCTTTCCTTGAGGGATGCAGGTGGAGCTGGGCTATCGTGAGCTCACCAGCATTTTAAACAATAAAGGCCTAAATACAAGTTCAAGGGTATAACAGATGCTCCTAGAGAAGCTCATGATTAATTGCCTATGTGTTATCCACAGACCAACAGTTTTCAAAATGTGCCATGGTGGGCGGCAAAGGAGTAGGCTCAAAGGAGTAGGACGCTGGCTCCATATGCTGGAGGTGGTGGGTTCAAACCCAGCCCCGGCCAAAAGCTGCAAAAAAAATGTGCCGTGGAGCCCTAGGTTTCAATAGAAAACCTTAGTGGCTGGTACGGCTTAGGCCAAAGGGCTGTGGACCAGCCGTTCCCAGTGTGCACAGATACACACACACAACACAACACACACACTTCAGCGCAGGATCTTTGTATTATTGTTGCTTTCTGCCTCTTTAATTATTTGGATTTCGTTCATTCCACAGGTATTTGTTGAGTGCCTTCTACCTGCTGGGTATTTTTCTAGACACTAGGGACACAGCGGTGAAAAAGATAAAATTCCCTGCCTTTATAGAGCCTAAGTTCTAGCAGGCATGTTCTCTTCAAGGTTCCTTTCACAAAGGGTTACATTGCATGATGAAAGGGAGATGTGGTAAAACTCATCAGAAAGAGACCAGGAATTCTAGGAAGGTGCCATGAAGAAGGCCTAAGGCAGTCACCAAAGCAAACGAGGCCTTTCAGAAGAAGTGGGTTTGAACTGAATGGACAAGGGTGAGATTTGTCCAAGCAGAGGAGTGAGGAGATGAGGGCACTGAGGACAGGGGAGCAAGTGCGTTTAGGTACCGAAGAGTAACCTTCTTGCAGGAGCCAGTGAAGATGAGAGCCCAGGGTAGCAGCCTGGGTCTCTCCCTGCCGGGCAGTGAGGCCTCTAGAAGGTAGTGAATCTTGTAACTGAGTGACCTGAGTGAAGCAGGAGAATCCCCCATGTGCTATTTAGAGAATCTTTGAGAGTAAAAGTATAAAGCTCTGTGAAACTAAACAAAATCCCTCCAGCACATTCAGCTCAAGCTACTCCAGGCCATTCTTGTGGGTCTTGGCCCAGGCGTCCTGTTTCTGCCTTTAGGATGGGGAGATTCCTGCTTTTGACCTCCTGTCAGTAAACCAACTTGTGAGCAGAGGACAAGGGGCCAGCTGCCTCCTTGGAGGGTGTGCCCCCTGGGGAGACGCTGCTCTCCAAGCCCCAGCTTGCTATCCTTCTCTCTACAGCCTGCCTTCAAAGGCCTTACCTTCACTGACCTGCCTCTGTGCTTGCAACTCAACATCATGCAGCGGCTAAGTGACGGACGGGACCTGGTCAGCCTGGGCCAGGTGGCCCCTGACCTGCATGTGCTCAGCGAGGACCGGCTGCTCTGGAAGAAGCTGTGTCAGTACCACTTCTCTGAGCGGCAGGTAGGCAGGGCCCAGCGGGCCTCCCCCACCCTCCCTTCTCTGCTCCATCCCAAGCTCCCTTGGTGTCCTTGTCAAGCATGGCGGGGGGGGGTGCCTCCTACTCCAGGCCTTTCTGGTGTGACTAAAAATGACAGTATAGGAGTTTTTATTTATTTTTTAATTTTTTTTTTTTGAGACATAGTCTAAAGTTATTGCCCTGGGTGGAGTGCCGTGGCATCACAGCTCACAGCAACCTCCAGCTCCTGGGCTTAAGCGATTCTCTTGCCTCAACCTCCCAAGTAGCTGGGACCAGGTGCCCACCACAGTGCCCGGCTATTTTTTGATTATAGTTGTCATTGTTGCTTAGCAGACCTGGGCTGGGTTCAAACCTGCCACCCTAGGTGTATGTGGCCGGCACCTTTGCTGACTGAACTACAGGTGCCACCTATAGGAATTTTTAAATAATGAGTATGTCAGGGCTTGTTTGCTTTTTCTGGATAGTTTTAATGGGGGAAAAATACTTATGTTCTTAACCTATTCGTATTTTACAACTTGCTAAAAAAAAAAAAAAAATTCATAAATTGGCACCCATCTTTTATTTCTGCAACCAAACAACTTACCTTTTTTTCAGTATTTTGCAGTGTAACTGCTTTTATGGATAATATTTCCTTTTACTTTAATGACTTAGGGAAGATAGTTATTGTTCTGCCCACTTGAAACAGATGAAGAGACTAAGGCCACAGATGGCTAAGTGACGTATCCAAATTAGTGAAGTGGCTCTCTGGGTGAGGAAACCGGCCTTGAACTTGAATTTGGGCCTTCAGCTATCAACTGCAAGCCTGTTTCCCCTCATCATGCTGCCTCAAGTTTGTTGGTCTTTTTCCAGTTTCTTTATATAGATGTGTGAGTTTAACAAGTTCTGTTCATGAAGCCACTAATATTTAGATATAAAATAGAACCACAGTGCCAAGCACTCACTGCATTTCCCTGGAAATAATCACTCAAGTCTATACCAAAGAAAAAGTTGAAGCTGTTTATTAAGATCACAGTGGTCACCAGGAACATATTACCAGCCACCTGTTTTCTTTGAAAGACTGGTTAAAAGCTACTGTTTTAACTGGGGAGAGCTAAGAAGGTATATCTTTGTATCTTCAGAGCTTTTTCCTTTGGCTATTGTAGGGTAGAGATTTTTAAAAAGGGGGGAAAGAGGGTAGGAGAAGAACGTTTCTGAACCAGAAAACCACAAACCATCTTCTTGGCAGACTCTTCTGCAGCTTCCTTTATTCATTTGACTTTTTTAGATCCGCAAGCGATTGATTTTGTCAGACAAAGGGCAGCTGGATTGGAAGAAGATGTATTTTAAACTTATCCGATGCTACCCAAGGAAAGAGCAATATGGAGACACCCTTCAGCTTTGCAAACACTGTCACATTCTTTCCTGGAAGGTATGAGTCTCAGAAGTGACCACCAGATCCCTAGCCCAGTGGCTAAGAGTCAGCAGTGCCATCCAGCCTTGTGAGACCACATCCTTCCCTACTTGTTCCCTATCTCAGCCCCCAGGGGAGGGGAGACAGGAGTGGACTTTCAGTTACCTTCATTTCCTTCACTCCCTTATGTTTATTTTTTTTTTTTGCAACCCACCCACCCCTAAGTCCTATTTCTGTGTGTCCAGTGTACATGCATTTGTGTGCAAACACACAGCTCTTTAGTTGTTCCAGGCCTGTGGCATAACAAAGAATCATTGTTTTGAATTTGAGCAATGCCTCAATGCCTTCTGTTGGTGACAAAAGCCAACATAAGATGCCTCTGAGAACTCAACGCTAACCACAATATTCCCTTCCAGGGCACTGACCATCCGTGCACTGCCAATAACCCGGAGAGCTGCTCTGTTTCACTTTCACCCCAGGACTTTATCAACTTGTTCAAGTTCTGAATCTCAGCACATGGAAACACTGCAGAAGGGTCCCCCTGCTGATTGGATAGCTGGGAATGTGGCGTTCGGACACTTCATTTATAAATAGTGTACATTTTAAACATTGGCTCAGAACTTGTGAGCTAAGTCATTGAGAGGACGTTGGAGGGGAAGGATGCAGTGGCTGACTGGGAATGTAAGAATGTGAACCTCTCGTTAGAATTGGTATGGAAAAGCAGAAATACTGTAAATAAACTTTTTTTTTCCTAACAATTTGCCAGCAAGACAGAAGACAAGAATTCTACTTCAGCGTTAAAAATGGAACTCTCTGGAAGATCCTGGAAACTCTTGTGATAGTTCCCTAGGAAGAGAGAGGCAAAACTCAAATACAAAATAGAACACTCTTTGTTTACAATGTGAAAATGTGTTTAGGAAGAAAAAAAGAGAGAGAAAGAAGAAAAACTACATATGAGGAATCCTTGGGCTTTGGGTTTTGATTTGGAGTTTGTTTTGAAAAGCAAAGAAAGCACAGTAACCACCCATCCTAAACCCACACGGGCAGAGGGCCTTATCCTGAGAGATACCACACAAAGGTCTACCTCCAAAAGCGTGCAGTGCTCCCACGACATGCATGATCCAGTAGGCTGTAGGTCCGTTTCTCTTGTAAATGTTTTAATCACTATGAAAAGTGATTTAACATCGCTTTAAAAGGGATATTGGAAGCAACCCTCGTCTTGTGTCACCCTTCCTTGTCAGGTGAACAAGACCCTCTTTGGAGTTGCCTCTTTCCTAGAACAACCCCAAAGTCCAGATGTCTTTTTTTCAATTTCATGTTGTAGCTCATCTGGGGAAATAGGCCAATTTAAAGCAGTCCCAGAGAAGTCCACAGGAAGGATAAAACTGGTCACCCCAATAGCTGTGAATACCCCATTATTCCTGTTGAACTTCCTGGCTCATCCAGCCTTCCTTGGGTGTCTTTCTAGATGCGCGTATGTCTGTGGAATGATGGGAGCCCAGTTGGAGCCTGAGGCAGGTTTTACATATCAGCCAATTAACGGCTGTCCCACTGGCCAGGGTGACCAGCCAGGGAGCTGCTTTTCTTTAGATCCAACATCAAAGTTTTTTCAACATGAGCTAGGGCTTTTTGCAAGGCTGATTACCAGTAAAGGCTGGAGTTCTAGCCAAATAGGGAGCAGAGGTACCATAAGTTCATCTTAACCTGCTTGGGAGCTAATGTTCAAAACGTAAAGACCCCAGGGGATCTTGCAAGGCAAATATCAGCAGGTAACTGCAGAAGAAAAGAAATCTCAGGACTTTATGAGTTAATTGTCAAATATTCCTGGGAAGGGCTGGGGAGGTTTTTGGATTTTTTACTTTTTATAGAGTGTTGCTTTTCTACAACAATGTATATATATTTGCAGTTGTGTTCACTTTTTTTTTTTTCCAAATAAAATTGTCACCCTGCATGACCTTGGCAAAAAAGTAAAGCAGAAATAGGAACCTGGTTCACATTCATGTTGAGGCACAGTGTATCCTTTAAGGTTGATCCTTGGGTGATCAGGGAAGGGGAAAAGACAGATAGGCATGTACAGAAACAACACAAGCTAGTGACACACGTCTTCACACCCTTCCCTCAGTAATCACAATCCACATTCTGAAAGGAGGGAAATTACTATTCCATGCTCTTCACTTTGCAATATTTGTGCCTATAGCAGGACTTCTTGTATTTTTCCCTTATCACCCCAAGAAGAAAGAAACTAAATTGAATTTAAATTGTCTTAATAAGAAAAAATTAAATATGAAGGAATAAGATTTTATTGAGCCAGGTACAGAGGCTCATACCTGTAATCCCAGCACTCTGGGAGGCTGAGGCAGGAGGATCACTTTAGCTCAGGAGTTTGAGACTAGCCTGAGCAAGAGTAAGAGCCTGTCTTTGGCAAAACTTGAAAAACGACCTACATGTTGCAGCAGACTCCTATAGTCCCAGCTACTTGGGAGGCTGAGGCAAAAGGATTGGTTGAACCCCGGAGTTTGAGATTGCTGTGAGCTAAGCTGACATCACAACACTCTAGCCTGGGCAACAGAGTGAGACTCTGTCTAAAAAAAAAAAAAAAAAAAAAGATTTTGTTGGGTAAAAGATTTTGTTGAGGTTTATTTTTTACAATCCTCTTCTCCCCCTGAATCAATTTCAGATTGGGAACGCAGGGCCTGGAATGTTGAATAAAAAGTTGCTTCTTCCATAATTGTCAGGTTCTCTCAAATTTCTCAGTTTCCTTAAAGATGTGGGGGGGAGCTGGTTCTGCCATTACTGAGAAAGTCCTGGAATGGCAGAATGGCATTTTAGATTGAGGGGTTCATGGCCTTCATCTTCCCGCCAACTTACGACCTCTGCTCCTTCATGCTGATTAAGGAGGTAGGAACTCCTCTGCTCCCTCAGGTTTGCAGTCCGAGAAACATGGCCCGCATTGTACTGTCACCACAGAATTTGTGAACCCACCTACAGGTGCAAGATGATCCCTGCCCCAAGCGACAGGGTTATAGTCTTCTGAAGTGCCTTCAAGATGTGCCTGTGAGCTCACCCCATGTCCTCGGATAGTATTGGAAGAGGAGTATGATGGAGTCAAGGAAATTTAAGGAAAAAAAGAAGAAATCGACATTTATGGTTCTCTTTTACTGGAGGATGAGAACATAGAAGGAAATGGCAGGTGGAGAGGGAGAGGGAAAGGAATAGAGATGGCATATATTTGATGCTGCGGTTTGTGTAGGGGCGATGGGAAGGGAATAGCAGGCTCAGAGAATCTGTGTTAGAGGCCGTGGTCCCTCTACAGCATGGCCGGAGCCTCACATGTAAGTCAAGTGAGTTAGAAAGGTAAACTTTTGCTCCCTGGCACTAATCGTCCATAGAATTTTTACTGGCAAATCCTTTCCAGGACACCCTGACCTGAAAAACAAAAATAAAGAATCCCTATTTCAGAAGTGCTGGTCTAACTGCCAGAAGGGCATGACAGTGGAAGAAACAGAATGATCTACTCCCTTTGCTGTGCCTACCTACCCCCCACTCTGAACCCTGTGAAGCAGAATTCAAACTCCATGTCAAATGTGAAGTAATTCAGACTTCCAAAGAAGAATGGAGGTGTTCTGTCCAGGGCAGTGGTTTATGGGCCGCGAGCCTAGAGTCCCTTGAGAGTAAGGCCCAGCATTTGGGGAAAGAATACTTGAAGTTTAGGAGTGCTCACTCTAGAGCAAGATCCAGAAAGAAAAGAAATCTGATGACATTTTTAAACTAAATTGCATTATTACTCAACGCCATTACTGTGGGCAGATGAATCCGTTGAATGGAAGGGCAGGTGGCAGAAATGAACAAGTTATAAAGTAACAACAGCCCCCTATGTCAGTTGTGAGATGCTACTTGTTCCATGATGATCAATTTTGTACTGAAGTGGCCTGGGGGACGTTTTTCAGGTGGACTGATGGTTTCCACTGCAAAACTCCCTTTTTTTTTTTTTGCAGTTGTTGGCCAGGGCTGGGGCTGGGTTTGAACCCACCACCTCCAGCATATGGGGCCAGCACCCTACTCCTTTGACCCACAGGTGCTGCCCCCCACTGCAAAACCCTTAACACAAGAGCAGGCTCCACTTGGACTTGTGAAGTAAGGTAGTGGGTGTGTATTATGAGATGGCCACAGTTCTCAGCTTTGTGGATTCACAAACCCTTTCCCAGCAGGAGCTCACCAGGAACAAAGGCTCTTTGTATCTGTTGTTTTTATATGGGAGAAAAGAAAGAGCTTGGCATTTCATTTGTCTAAGCAAGTGTATGATTTACAAGGAAGTAAATCATTCAAGAAAGGTTCAACAGTGTATTGTTCTTAGCATTCAATATAATGTTTATCATAAAATATGCACCTGAGTTTATGTTGTTCTGCCAGGCCGTAGGGCAGTAGTGTCTTTCTATGCAAACACTCTATTTTATGTGTGAATTGTTTTTAACTATAATTTTATGTGTGAATTTTTTAAACTAAATTCTATCATCATTTTCTATGTTGACATCTGTTGTGTTTTTTATCTGTTTCCAAGTATCTGAGTCTGTGAACCATCTCATCTGACTGGATGCTGGCCTAAAATCCTATTAGTGTTTAAACAGACCTCAGAAGCACCTCGAACCTCTAGGCAAACACAGAGAGGTTGCTCTTTAATATATCTCAGGCCCTGGATGGCTTCAACAAACGAGATTCCTTTAAACTCAACATTTTCCATGGATGCGTCTTTCTGTTTCATTGAGGAGAGTAGTTTTCCAAAGGCAATTCCTACCCCTGACCTTAGACCTGGAAGGAACGTTAGGGACGGTGGAGTCTGACGCTCCTTCTGTCTTCCGAGATGAGGAAGCAGATCCGGGATGTTTGGGAACATGCCTCAGCCCACCTGGGACTCAGTGGCAGAGCTGAGCACCCACCTGGAGCCTCCTGAGGCCTGACCTTGTAAGCTCCCATCCCCACTCCTAGCACCTTTTAGTATGATTAGAGACACATGAGTCCCCCCAAACGTGATTCCACTCAACGCCTTCACTGTGGAGGGCACAGGAGACTTCCCAGTGCTGGGCATCTGGCCTTTCCAAACATTTCAAGTCCCTGGTTCTTGTTGGAGGGGCAACTTGATGTTTTTACCGGCCTCTCTCTCTGTGGCATTCTAGTGAGTATTGCCACGTGCTAGAACATAAGCAGCATGTTTCGACAAATTCATTTTTGCCTTGGGCAGTTACATTTTGATTACAAAGATGGCCCTTATAAAAATAGGTAAGGTCTGAGCTGTGTCTCGCTTTCCAGAAAGTCGGGTTCTGATGGTCAACCATGCGAGTGTTTCCTCTCCCTTAGACTCAGAGGTGCATGTAATCCATCCACTCCACCTCCTCCTCTTCCTGTACCAGCGAGTTTCCATCCCAGTGGAAGTTCACTCTCTGCTAAACCTCATCTTCACTAAGTAAAGGGAAATTATTCCATGAGGCAGCAAGGAGCAAGGGCCCATGATCTTCATTTCTTTGTCTGCTGGGCAGTTATCAAAGTGTCCTTGAGCTCACTCAGCAAACAAAGCTTCCTGAAAAATCTCTCCAAACTTAACCATTCGCCCAAAAATGGATGACTGCTCCAAAACTCTGAACTTCTTGAAACTCCATCTGCTACAACATTACTTCTGGAGTTTGAACATGACTTTTTCTGTCTCTGAGTATAGATGTGTTTGTTTAATTAACAATGCACAAGTCTGTTAAACAGAAGGCTCCAAGCTGTGCTCTACTT